GTTCTGTACTGTATATGGCCAACAAGGAGAAGTAAAAATGGAATAAATATCAACAACTAATTATATTTTTGGAGTCAGCACTGTTCAAGATGGCTGCCACAGCTAAGCACAAAAAAAATGTATTTAAGTCAGTTTAACAGTTGCTGGTAGTAGTTGGGAGTCATCCTCAACACATACTCTGCGTGCTAACACATCTTATAGCATCTCACAATGTCACACAATGTTTCTCAACAGGACTTCACACTATAACGTTTTAGACAACTTATGCCAACTTATGAAAAAAAATCCACTAAATTACTAATAAAAGTTACGTATTTGATCAGTTTGTTAGCATTATAGTCTGCAGATGCCTAAAAGAGGCTTCCGGCATCCGGTTGATTTTTTTTAACTCCATCTTCAACATAAGCGTCTCCAAACATTTCATACGCTGCCTAAACGTCATCATGTGACAGGGCCTTAACTTCCTCTCCTCTCACCTGAAATCTGCACGGCCTTTTCAGCAGAGAAGCAGCGATGTTCAGCTTTACACTTCAGAGTTTTCAGTTTCTTCCAGGCGCTCGATGGGACCGTCAGTTCGCTGATCAGAAACGTTGAGTTTGACCTCGGGCTCACGTTGTCGTTGGCTGGAGGTCTCTCGTCCATCAGCCAGGTCAGCTCGGCGTCAAACACTTTGCGGCTGAAACACGTCGCCTTCACGCTGGACCCTCTCATCACCGCCTCAAAGGTGGGAATCTCCACATGAATGGAAGGAGCAATGCTTCCGTGGACTACAGGAGGAACAAAACATATGCATTAATCCACAATAAGAGGTTGTGTGTGATTATGAATAGTGCATACTCACGTTTACAAATACTCATCGTTTTCTGAAATTCAGCRCTGTTGTGAACGGCCTTGCAAGTAAAATCAGATCCTTTTCTCCATTCATCTGTATTGGGTTCGAGCTCAGTGGTCACAGTAATAGATTTTGCTCTTCCATCACTCTGTAGGGTTCTTTCTGTTGGTTTGATTTCTGTTACAGGCTTTTGGTTCTGATACCAATCCACAGTCAGTTCTTTGGGAAAAAAGTTGCTCAGAACGCACATGAGTCTAACTTGTGAGAACTCATCTTCCCAGATGGGGAACAAGGTGATGTTCGGAGAAACAATCACCACAACTGYGCAGAGAGGAGATGACATGATTCACTGTAAGTGTTAGCATAGATTATTTATTTTACAGAAGCAATTGCAATMAATTGTATTTAATACATACCTTCAGGATTTAATCAGCAACTAACCACCAAACTAGAATTTAAGATGTAATGTGTATTTATTTGTGATAAATAGCAAAGTTTTAACAACTCCTGTGTTTCAGTCATGCAAAAATGGGGCAGAGAGTCTGTTGCACAGATGTTGAGGCTAACAGAGCAGAACGATCAGTTCATGCAACGAGCGAAAGCTTTGTGTAACACTCCCCCCCACCCCAACCCCCGGCCTCGGTCCGAAAAAAAGGACCGAGAAGCAGAAGTGAAAGAAGGCAGAGAGCAGCGGAGCGTCACAGGCAGCAGGTGTGAGGTTTGGTTATGCCAGTAATAGAAACAGAGAATAATAATAATTTTAAAAAAAACATTTACATACGACAGTTCTGGTTACAAAGATTTTTTCTCATGACTTTGCCAACACATTTTACTTACTTTAAAAGTCCACTAATAACAGACTGAAAAAAGGTAACCGACTGTGAAATGTTTCAATTTCCATTTAGAGACGGACACAGGCTGCTGAATCCAGGTGCTGCTGATGAGAACATCATGCAACATAAAATACAAAAGATTACGTGAAATTAAWAATATGAGATGACAACAAATATAAACAAGAACCGTTTCAAAAGTAGAACAAARCTATTTATTTAAAGACAAAGATAAGATTTTAGAATAACATGAATAAGAAATAACAGCACATGATACTTTAAGTGAATAGAACAAGTTTAGAAATACAGTTTTAGTCTTATTTTGTTACAGAAGATTCCTTCCACATTCCTCTTCTTTTATTTGATCTGAAAGGAGATTGAAAAAAGCTGGTAAAAAAATCTGATGAAGTTCATGTCATGCATTAACAGAGTTTAAACTGTACATGCAACAAAACTGTTATTAAAGGAAGACTTGTGTCAGATCTTTGCATCAAATCAGCACACAAAACATAAAAATATAACTTCATCTTTCATCAAAACTATTTTCTACTTCTGAATGTTTTGTGTCAATATTTATAATGTTTAATCACTCTGCTCATAGCACAGCTGAACCAGTTCTTTATCTTTATCCGTTTTAAGTAGTAAAACCTAAATAATGGAGGTGATTGAGTTTTGACATTAATTTACAGCGGTGAAACTCATTTGACAACATAAATACAGTATTCATGTATTTACAGTGTCCGTACAGTATAATTCTTATTGTATGAGAATATGATATTGTCGACTGGTGAGAACATCAAGCAGATTTCATTAGATACACCTTTGAGCTGTACTGTGTCTCAACATATTAAACATTTCTTATWTATTTTTACATCAACTTATACTTCAGAAAAATAAACCCTGGAACCTTTATCTCTACAAATACAGTTTGTCAACAATGCTTAGTAATTACTTTAACAGTTTTGTAATGAATATATATG